AATCATTATATCTATCTAGACATTGCGGGATAACATTTAAACATTAATGAATACTGGACATAATTCATAAAATTAGTAATATTATCCGCCACCTCCACCTCCATCTCTATCACAAATATTCCACAACATTAGTAAAGGTGATATTCATCATCAAATTTCACATTCATACTAGATATTTTTGCGTCATGACTTTTTGAAAACATAAAACATTAAAGTGATAAAGTGATTATTCTGGCATGGACATATATGCTTGTTTATTGGTGAAACATCCAAAATATTAATTATGAAACGGAAAAAGATGATTAGCATATGTTGAATGAAATCTTTGTAGAAACTTTGGGGATAACTATTGCTGTATCTGTATTCACGAAGAAACCGTATTTCTTGCGATATGTTCTGAAATTGCTGATCCGACGTGTGTTTGAAAATCAATTATAAAAAGCGTGTTGCAAATTATAAGTGGATGATGTCATGCGTAATAGTGAAATCTGGCGTATATTCAAAATTATGAGTTTTGTACTCTCCACACGAAAAATTTCTTGAAATTTTCATTTTTTCACAGACTTTTTAAAATTATGATAACCCTGCGAATATTGATGCTACAGGGATGTAACACATAATTTTATAGCCAAGAACAAGATCGTTCTATCTACCATAGAAATATCTTGATAAAAATCACTCCATGTTTCACAAATAGTGAGCGAAGTAAAAAAAGGATAAAAAAATACACAAAAATCCACTGCCCAACCAATTGATTTACCTTCCAACCTTGTAACAACTTATTTTATTTCTTTTTACGCTCACATAGTTGTTTTAATCAACTTTTGTTATTTTTTGTTTGGTTTAGTATTAAAGAACTTTAATAGACAAAGGTGTATTTTATATATACTATATTGACTTGGAAGTAAATGTTGTAGAAATTCATGTAACCTTTGGTTATGTCATCAAAAGTAAAAAGTCTTTTATCCAATTCCTGAAATTTTAATTACATCTATGTAATTGTGTCAAATTTTTCATATGACTCAATTCTAAATTTTCATAATTTTAATTGTTTGACTAAATTCAATAGTTTGTTGCGAAAAGATTTCACTTATCACAAACATAACGATCATTATACATTATAAACACTAATTTGTTCAAATTTATCCTAATTTGTATTTTAAAAAAGAAAAAATTAGTGCGCGTGCCTTTTTATTTATGAAAATTGCAAAGTTAGGGTATGGTTGAGATGTAAATGATGGAGGAAGAAATTATGAATTGTCACTTGTGGTGATATTTAGCAATACTCTTTATTATTTTCCATTTTTGGCTGAATAAAAAGAAAAAAAAAAAAATTCAAAATTATATTTAATAGCCGAAGAAATACCTGCCTTTTAATTGATTAGCGGTTTTCATATAATTTTGTAAATAAAAACAATGTCCGAAAATCCACTTTCGTTGCAAGATGAAACACATCAAAAGGGCACGCTTGGTAGCACTCCGGCTAAAGAAAAAGAACTACGCGTGTCTGATAACAATTTTAACATTTCGATGGGGGTGCAGAATGTTGAAATTGATAATGTGAAACCGG